GTTATTTCAAAGGAGACCATCAGTACTTCTCGTTGTGGTTTTGAGTTTGCTAAGAACTCTTCTGCCTAGATGATCGAATGTTTTGTCCCCACAATTATATGTTTTCACCGTCTGCAGAGCTCTTTTGCAAGTATGTAGTCTGATGCTCCAGACAGAAACACAATGGTGCGCGATGCGTTGAAATCCGCCTGCCGATGGCAGACATTTGCGAGCCGGCTGTTCTTCCTTCACGAATGCTTGCGAAGGCGGATTTTGTCATCCAGTATGCACTACCTTCTTCTGATCAACCATATTTTAGCTTTGAAAATGACGGAACAATATGGACGACGGATGTTGCTTTTGCTGATCACAGATGCCCACAAGCGAAAACATAAATATCAAATGGTGATGGGTCAATAGAAAACAATATATTTATCCAAGCTTGGATCACAATTGACTGACGAATTGGGAAAAGGGATAGCCGCCAAAACACATTGTTCCGATAGTCGCGCATTTGCGCAGCTCCACACACACACACACACACACACACACACACACACACACACACACACACACACACACACAATACGTGAAGGCTGATAGGAAGCCAAGGGAACACTAGGCCACCTCTATTGGTTGAGGTGAACGACATTACTGATCAGGAGAAAAGCATTCACAATCTCCCGTTGCACAATTCGGAGCGTATTAGCCTGACTGCAGTGTCGCTTCAACATCGTGCATTCGTCTTACCCCTCATTTTTTGCGGATAAATTACAGATTTTCGGCCTAAAACAAGCTATGTTCTGTTTCACATGCAAAATGTCCCATTTTCTTAGTTATATGTATATATATATATTTATGGCAAGTCCAATATTTTTGAATTAATCCCCGTAATTCAGGCATGGTCACACAGTAAATTCCGCACTTTTGCGCGCCTTACCAAAAGTCCGAGCAATTCTAACAATTGTCCGGATATCCAGTCAGCAGCTTATCTTTCGAGTATAATGCGTACACGACTGCACGACGTTCGGTGCACACACACTTGCGCAAGGGAGCAGTAGATTTAGCTCTGTACTGACCCAGGGTTAGCCGTGGCACTGGAGTTATCGGTTACGTACGGGGTCTACTGTGGGAAAGATTACGTATGGCGTTGTCAAACGAATGTACAGCTGATCCATGACTGCCCTTGTCATTTCCCGATGTTTCATCCGATCTATGTTCTCAATGAAGTAGACAGACTAACGTACACCTGAGCAATAAATGTTTGATACGCCCTTATTTGTATCCCGGGCAATGATAAAACATGGTTATGGCGGATGGTGCGGTTTTCTGAAAAGTAGCTTCCAACAAATCACTGTAGCAAAATAGGGCATTACTTTCAACTAGGCATTAGCGACTTGTTATAGGAGTATTTTCTTGCTTTTAGTATTTTGCCTTCCTGTTGTCTGAGCCAACTTCATTGCAAGTTCTTGTAACTTCTCCTTCGTGAAAGACCTATGTTACCACCTCACCTATTTTCATATCCGTACGAGCTCAATTTATGGCCCGGTGAAATGCACAAATATGAGGAACCAACCCAGACTACCGTTAGTCTAAATTATTTTAAATCTCCCTAACCTCGTTAATGGAATGACGATGAAACATTATCTGCACGTGATCGGCCACTCACTTTACAGCTACCATCATCTACGATACCATTTGCAGCATCGGCTGTCATCACTCGACTAGTTGCTCCTAGTTATTGCCATATACACAGTGAATTTATTTTGGAATTTGGTCAAGGAACCACGTACTGCTTTTGCAACACGAGACTCCCTTTGGTGGATTCTTATTAGTGTTTAATTAGAATGCGCATGGAAGTTATCTGTGCACTTCTGTGTCCTGTGTTTGCGACGCAGATATGTAACCAACTCATCGACAACAAGCGACATTGGCCAGGTTTGTACAGTTCCCATTATGGAAGATTATGTCTTGCGATCCCATGATAGTTTGGCACTGGGAAGCTGATGGAGCTGAACACTGCAAGCGAAATTATCTCGGGTCTCATGAGAGGACAAGCTAACCACAGCTGGCTCGTCATCCTCGTGATGCACTATGTAATTTCACAATTCAGATATTTTAGCAAAGGCACCAACCACACTTTAACCCTTTGATTATTGACGAGAAGGAGCTGTAGACAATTGAACGGTGCCCATACTGCCATAAGTGTGCACATGTGTAGGTACGCGTGTGCGTGAAATTCAGTTCGCTTAGTGCAATGATGGAAGCGCCCTCATCAATCAGTCACGCCCAATGCGACAGAATAGGTGTTTTTTGACCTTGAGCAGTGCCTCCACAGGGAATAACCAGAGCTATTCCAAAGTGCGTCATTACCAATAACCCCGTAGTCTATGTATCGGAGGGTATTTCAAGCCTTCTGACAAGTGCTATACGGCAAACCGAACGCACGTGCAGACCTATTTCATTCTAACCACCTGCTAACTCTTTATTGCGGGTTGTCTTCTATTCTGTTGCAGTGACACCGGTTATCTGCAGCTTACGCCATTCCCATCGTCCCGTAGTTGGGCTGATGGCATTTAGTGCTGAGCGCATTTTACGCTGTTTTCCGAATCGCAGCTGTTTTGTAAACTTTCCCACAGCGAAATTCCTCTTAAGCAGTATGCTAACAGCATTTGAACAGTGAGGCATAGTATCCTCCATTTATCGCGGCAGTCGGCACGGTGCACAGCGCTGCAGTAACATCCAATGCTCTTAGAATTCAGTTTGCCCCAACCCACTCTTTGCACCATTCGCTCGTGGACTGATTTAGTCTTTAATTCATTTCTAATCGGGGATACGTATCTTAAAAAACAGGATTAAACGGATATAGATATCAGTGAATGAGATGTTAAAAGTGTTAAAAGCGGCAAAAGGTTGCTTGAAGCGGTGGGCAAGCACTTGCTCCAAAGTCTCCGTGGTGATCGCGTAGACATTCATTCACAATATTATGTTCTGTTGCTCGTGGTGATTCGGCCTGCTTTTGCAAACCCATCGTTTCATATAGCCCCATGGCGAAATATCCGGTGGGTTTAAATCGGGTGACCGTGCGAGCCAATCAATTTGTCTCCTGCGACCGATCCAACTTTGGCCGAGTCACAGAGATATTCACGCACCGATTGAGCATAAGGTGCCGGTGCACAATCCTGTTGCCACCAAATGGTATTGGCAACTCCGTCGGCAGGTTTGGAGCATTTCCTTTTACGATGATGCAAAGAAAATTAAGGGTTGAGTTATATAAAACAACTTCCCGGCCACATTACTGGGCTGGAAAATATCCGGCCCAAACGATGAGCTTTGTGTTATGCTGAATACGTCTTGGATTAGATATAGCCCAGAAATGCTGTTTCTCAGTTCTACGCAAATGGAAAACTGACTCATAGGTGAACATTACGGAGTGAATGCTCATGTGATCCAAAAACCAACGGCGAAATGCATTCCGTTTATCGGGTTCACTTGGGTTAAATACCTGAACCTGGTGCCCGGAACCTGATAAAATTTATTTCCTTTAAAACCCTCTGAACAGTGTATCGAGTACTGTCACAAAGCTGAACATTTCTACGTACGCTGAGATCTTGTCTTTTGTAATTTTCACGAACAACAACGTAAGCTGAAAAAGCATCCATACTGGTGCGAGGCCGCTCGGATTTTCTGACGTTACACACACTCCCAGTTTTGCGAACTTTTTTTAACCATTTAGGCACGTAACAGCTGTTAACGGGCTGCATTCCCGCGTTGTGCGTGTTCTGTGTTCGCGCAGTTTCTACAGCGTTGAACCCATACTAGCTATACAGCCGAATAATAAGAGTGCGCTGGAGGAACGTCACCGACAGGAATGTAACCTAGTATTCCATTGCTACGACAGCGACCATCGGAAAATTGACAAGGCACCACTTATCTTGCCCCGCTGGCATATTCTGGCGCCCGCACTGAGACCAGAACGTATTGCTCACTCAGCTGTGGTCTGTCTGTGCGTCATCCACTCACCAACTGCAGAGCCGTGGAATTTGGAGTCGCCGGACGCCGTAGCAAAGATGCTGTGCTTGTTATATGCGGGTACCCTGAAGGGTTGAGCGAAGTCCGTTGCTCCCACGCGCAAGTGTGTGCGCAGTGAACATGGTGCAGTCATGTACACTTTTACTGTAAAGCACGAACTGTCGATGGGATATCCGGACAACAGTTAGAATTGTTCGGGCTTTTGGTAAGGCACGTAAATGTGCGGAATTTAATGAGCAACTATGCCTGGATTACGGGGATCAATCCAAACATATCTTACTATACGTATGAATGTATACGTCAAGAGCCTCTTGAAAAAATTAATATCGCTTGCATCTTTATTATTTTAACGACCATTGCGCTGTGTATCCAACTATTGCGTGATTTATAAGCACGTACTTAACGCCTGTAACCCTTTACATCCTAACATGAACAGAAAAACGATTTGAGCGCAGTGCAACCTTAACCTACGAACAAACCAAGCAAAACAGTCAAACCACAGTTACAACACAAGAAATAACGGAAACCATATCAAGTAAATTCGCCTTAACAGAAACGCTAAAAGAAAACAGAGCAACAGAAGCGTATACAAAGCAGGAGCAAAAACCAAATGTTGGGGAAAGCGGTGATTATGTTAGGAGTACAAAAATAAAAGAAACAGAAAAAAGCAGAAACACAACACACACGAAAGAAAAAAGGATATGCAAGCATAAAAGAAAAAGAAGCAGCCGGGGAAACAAAGGAGCAGTAGATTTAAACATCCAGGAAGAAAGAAATGTAACCGAAAGAGAAAACCGAGGAAATACGACAAAAATCAAAGTAAACACAAAACAACAAGAGGAAGATATTGCAAATAAAGCAAAGTATAATGCGAACATTGGAGGGACAAGTACCGAAAACCAAAACCTCAACAGAAGCGCAATTCGATTAAGAGAAGAAGATAATATTAAAAACAAAAATAAACGTCGAAAATGTCCCCAAAACCGATGCTACCTTAACAAGAGTAGAATAATAAGAAAAAATGAGACGGACGGATCACGAAATACGCAAGATGAGAGTGCAACCGATTTGCCGCTTAATGGGACGGTGCATCCGGATTCCGAATCTGGATGGTCGTCTGCTTCGTCTTCGGCGTCGGTGTCGTCGTCTGAGTCGGTGTCTGCGTCTGTGTCAGCGTCTGGTTCGGTGTTGTCGTCGGATGTGGAGTTGTATTCGTCGGTCGATGTGGATGGTGTTGGTGTGTTTCCAGGTGGTGTATCGGTTTCTGTGTCTGGTGAAGGTGGTGGAGTTGCAGGTGGAAGAGCAGGTGTTGGTGAAGGTGAAGTGGAAGGTGCGGATGTGGTGTTGAGGCCCGAATCGGAGTGGACGCTGTGGGGTGGCGTAGTGACAGAGTCGTCAGGTGAGAGATTAGGTGCGATTGCATCGGATTTGTCGTTGAATGGGACGGTGTATGCGGATTCCGAAACTGGATGGTCGTCTGCTTCGTCTTCGGCGTCGGTGTCGTCGTCTGAGTCGGTGTCTGCGTCTGTGTCAGCGTCTGGTTCGGTGTTGTCGTCGGATGTGGAGTTGTATTCGTCGGTCGATGTGGATGGTGTTGGTGTGTTTCCAGGTGGTGTATCGGTTTCTGTGTCTGGTGAAGGTGGTGGAGTTGCAGGTGGAAGAGCAGGTGTTGGTGAAGGTGAAGTGGAAGGTGCGGATGTGGTGTTGAGGCCCGAATCGGAGTGGACGCTGTGGGGTGGCGTAGTGACAGAGTCGTCAGGTGAGAGATTAGGTGCGATTGCATCGGATTTGTCGTTGAATGGGACGGTGTATGCGGAATCCGAATCTGGATGGTCGTCTGCTTCGTCTTCGGCGTCGGTGTCGTCGTCTGAGTCGGTGTCTGCGTCTGTGTCAGCGTCTGGTTCGGTGTTGTCGTCGGATGTGGGGTTGTACTCGTCGGTCGATGTGGATGGTGTTGGTGTGTTTCCAGGTGGTGTATCGGTTTCTGTGTCTGGTGAAGGTGGTGGAGTTGCAGGTGGAAGAGCAGGTGTTGGTGAAGGTGAAGTGGAAGGTGCGGATGTGGTGTTGAGGCCCGAATCGGAGTGGACGCTGTGGGGTGGCGTAGTGACAGAGTCGTCAGGTGAGAGATTAGGTGCGATTGCATCGGATTTGTCGTTGAATGGGACGGTGTATGCGGAATCCGAATCTGGATGGTCGTCTGCTTCGTCTTCGGCGTCGGTGTCGTCGTCTGAGTCGGTGTCTGCGTCTGTGTCAGCGTCTGGTTCGGTGTTGTCGTCGGATGTGGGGTTGTATTCGTCGGTCGATGTGGATGGTGTTGGTGTGTTTCCAGGTGGTGTATCGGTTTCTGTGTCTGGTGAAGGTGGTGGAGTTGCAGGTGGAAGAGCAGGTGTTGGTGAAGGTGAAGTGGAAGGTGCGGATGTGGTGTTGAGGCCCGAATCGGAGTGGACGCTGTGGGGTGGCGTAGTGACAGAGTCGTCAGGTGAGAGATTAGGTGCGATTGCATCGGATTTGTCGTTGAATGGGACGGTGTATGCGGATTCCGAATCGGGATGGTCGTCTGCTTCGTCTTCGGCGTCGGTGTCGTCGTCGTCGTCGTCTGAGTCGGTGTCTGCGTCTGTGTCAGCGTCTGGTTCGGTGTTGTCGTCGGATGTGGAGTTGTATTCGTCGGTCGATGTGGATGGTGTTGGTGTGTTTCCAGGTGGTGTATCGGTTTCTGTGTCTGGTGAAGGTGGTGGAGTTGCAGGTGGAAGAGCAGGTGTTGGTGAAGGTGAAGTGGAAGGTGCGGATGTGGTGTTGAGGCCCGAATCGGAGTGGACGCTGTGGGGTGGCGTAGTGACAGAGTCGTCAGGTGAGAGATTAGGTGCGATTGCATCGGATTTGTCGTTGAATGGGACGGTGTATGCGGAATCCGAATCTGGATGGTCGTCTGCTTCGTCTTCGGCGTCGGTGTCGTCGTCTGAGTCGGTGTCTGCGTCTGTGTCAGCGTCTGGTTCGGTGTTGTCGTCGGATGTGGAGTTGTATTCGTCGGTCGATGTGGATGGTGTTGGTGTGTTTCCAGGTGGTGTATCGGTTTCTGTGTCTGGTGAAGGTGGTGGAGTTGCAGGTGGAAGAGCAGGTGTTGGTGAAGGTGAAGTGGAAGGTGCGGATGTGGTGTTGAGGCCCGAATCGGAGTGGACGCTGTGGGGTGGCGTAGTGACAGAGTCGTCAGGTGAGAGATTAGGTGCGATTGCATCGGATTTGTCGTTGAATGGGACGGTGTATGCGGAATCCGAATCTGGATGGTCGTCTGCTTCGTCTTCGGCGTCGGTGTCGTCGTCTGAGTCGGTGTCTGCGTCTGTGTCAGCGTCTGGTTCGGTGTTGTCGTCGGATGTGGAGTTGTATTCGTCGGTCGATGTGGATGGTGTTGGTGTGTTTCCAGGTGGTGTATCGGTTTCTGTGTCTGGTGAAGGTGTTGGAGTTTCAGGTGGAAGAGCAGGTGTTGGTGAAGGTGAAGTGGAAGGTGCGGATGTGGTGTTGAGGCCCGAATCGGAGTGGACGCTGTGGGGTGGCGTAGTGACAGAGTCGTCAGGTGAGAGATTAGGTGCGATTGCATCGGATTTGTCGTTGAATGGGACGGTGTATGCGGAATCCGAATCTGGATGGTCGTCTGCTTCGTCTTCGGCGTCGGTGTCGTCGTCTGAGTCGGTGTCTGCGTCTGTGTCAGCGTCTGGTTCGGTGTTGTCGTCGGATGTGGAGTTGTATTCGTCGGTCGATGTGGATGGTGTTGGTGTGTTTCCAGGTGGTGTATCGGTTTCTGTGTCTGGTGAAGGTGGTGGAGTTGCAGGTGGAAGAGCAGGTGTTGGTGAAGGTGAAGTGGAAGGTGCGGATGTGGTGTTGAGGCCCGAATCGGAGTGGACGCTGTGGGGTGGCGTAGTGACAGAGTCGTCAGGTGAGAGATTAGGTGCGATTGCATCGGATTTGTCGTTGAATGGGACGGTGTATGCGGATTCCGAATCGGGATGGTCGTCTGCTTCGTCTTCGGCGTCGGTGTCGTCGTCGTCGTCGTCTGAGTCGGTGTCTGCGTCTGTGTCAGCGTCTGGTTCGGTGTTGTCGTCGGATGTGGAGTTGTATTCGTCGGTCGATGTGGATGGTGTTGGTGTGTTTCCAGGTGGTGTATCGGTTTCTGTGTCTGGTGAAGGTGGTGGAGTTGCAGGTGGAAGAGCAGGTGTTGGTGAAGGTGAAGTGGAAGGTGCGGATGTGGTGTTGAGGCCCGAATCGGAGTGGACGCTGTGGGGTGGCGTAGTGACAGAGTCGTCAGGTGAGAGATTAGGTGCGATTGCATCGGATTTGTCGTTGAATGGGACGGTGTATGCGGAATCCGAATCTGGATGGTCGTCTGCTTCGTCTTCGGCGTCGGTGTCGTCGTCTGAGTCGGTGTCTGCGTCTGTGTCAGCGTCTGGTTCGGTGTTGTCGTCGGATGTGGAGTTGTACTCGTCGGTCGATGTGGATGGTGTTGGTGTGTTTCCAGGTGGTGTATCGGTTTCTGTGTCTGGTGAAGGTGGTGGAGTTGCAGGTGGAAGAGCAGGTGTTGGTGAAGGTGAAGTGGAAGGTGCGGATGTGGTGTTGAGGCCCGAATCGGAGTGGACGCTGTGGGGTGGCGTAGTGACAGAGTCGTCAGGTGAGAGATTAGGTGCGATTGCATCGGATTTGTCGTTGAATGGGACGGTGTATGCGGAATCCGAATCTGGATGGTCGTCTGCTTCGTCTTCGGCGTCGGTGTCGTCGTCTGAGTCGGTGTCTGCGTCTGTGTCAGCGTCTGGTTCGGTGTTGTCGTCGGATGTGGAGTTGTACTCGTCGGTCGATGTGGATGGTGTTGGTGTGTTTCCAGGTGGTGTATCGGTTTCTGTGTCTGGTGAAGGTGGTGGAGTTGCAGGTGGAAGAGCAGGTGTTGGTGAAGGTGAAGTGGAAGGTGCGGATGTGGTGTTGAGGCCCGAATCGGAGTGGACGCTGTGGGGTGGCGTAGTGACAGAGTCGTCAGGTGAGAGATTAGGTGCGATTGCATCGGATTTGTCGTTGAATGGGACGGTGTATGCGGAATCCGAATCTGGATGGTCGTCTGCTTCGTCTTCGGCGTCGGTGTCGTCGTCTGAGTCGGTGTCTGCGTCTGTGTCAGCGTCTGGTTCGGTGTTGTCGTCGGATGTGGAGTTGTACTCGTCGGTCGATGTGGATGGTGTTGGTGTGTTTCCAGGTGGTGTATCGGTTTCTGTGTCTGGTGAAGGTGGTGGAGTTGCAGGTGGAAGAGCAGGTGTTGGTGAAGGTGAAGTGGAAGGTGCGGATGTGGTGTTGAGGCCCGAATCGGAGTGGACGCTGTGGGGTGGCGTAGTGACAGAGTCGTCAGGTGAGAGATTAGGTGCGATTGCATCGGATTTGTCGTTGAATGGGACGGTGTATGCGGAATCCGAATCTGGATGGTCGTCTGCTTCGTCTTCGGCGTCGGTGTCGTCGTCTGAGTCGGTGTCTGCGTCTGTGTCAGCGTCTGGTTCGGTGTTGTCGTCGGATGTGGAGTTGTACTCGTCGGTCGATGTGGATGGTGTTGGTGTGTTTCCAGGTGGTGTATCGGTTTCTGTGTCTGGTGAAGGTGGTGGAGTTGCAGGTGGAAGAGCAGGTGTTGGTGAAGGTGAAGTGGAAGGTGCGGATGTGGTGTTGAGGCCCGAATCGGAGTGGACGCTGTGGGGTGGCGTAGTGACAGAGTCGTCAGGTGAGAGATTAGGTGCGATTGCATCGGATTTGTCGTTGAATGGGACGGTGTATGCGGAATCCGAATCTGGATGGTCGTCTGCTTCGTCTTCGGCGTCGGTGTCGTCGTCTGAGTCGGTGTCTGCGTCTGTGTCAGCGTCTGGTTCGGTGTTGTCGTCGGATGTGGAGTTGTATTCGTCGGTCGATGTGGATGGTGTTGGTGTGTTTCCAGGTGGTGTATCGGTTTCTGTGTCTGGTGAAGGTGGTGGAGTTGCAGGTGGAAGAGCAGGTGTTGGTGAAGGTGAAGTGGAAGGTGCGGATGTGGTGTTGAGGCCCGAATCGGAGTGGACGCTGTGGGGTGGCGTAGTGACAGAGTCGTCAGGTGAGAGATTAGGTGCGATTGCATCGGATTTGTCGTTGAATGGGACGGTGTATGCGGAATCCGAATCTGGATGGTCGTCTGCTTCGTCTTCGGCGTCGGTGTCGTCGTCTGAGTCGGTGTCTGCGTCTGTGTCAGCGTCTGGTTCGGTGTTGTCGTCGGATGTGGAGTTGTATTCGTCGGTCGATGTGGATGGTGTTGGTGTGTTTCCAGGTGGTGTATCGGTTTCTGTGTCTGGTGAAGGTGGTGGAGTTGCAGGTGGAAGAGCAGGTGTTGGTGAAGGTGAAGTGGAAGGTGCGGATGTGGTGTTGAGGCCCGAATCGGAGTGGACGCTGTGGGGTGGCGTAGTGACAGAGTCGTCAGGTGAGAGATTAGGTGCGATTGCATCGGATTTGTCGTTGAATGGGACGGTGTATGCGGAATCCGAATCTGGATGGTCGTCTGCTTCGTCTTCGGCGTCGGTGTCGTCGTCTGAGTCGGTGTCTGCGTCTGTGTCAGCGTCTGGTTCGGTGTTGTCGTCGGATGTGGAGTTGTATTCGTCGGTCGATGTGGATGGTGTTGGTGTGTTTCCAGGTGGTGTATCGGTTTCTGTGTCTGGTGAAGGTGGTGGAGTTGCAGGTGGAAGAGCAGGTGTTGGTGAAGGTGAAGTGGAAGGTGCGGATGTGGTGTTGAGGCCCGAATCGGAGTGGACGCTGTGGGGTGGCGTAGTGACAGAGTCGTCAGGTGAGAGATTAGGTGCGATTGCATCGGATTTGTCGTTGAATGGGACGGTGTATGCGGAATCCGAATCTGGATGGTCGTCTGCTTCGTCTTCGGCGTCGGTGTCGTCGTCTGAGTCGGTGTCTGCGTCTGTGTCAGCGTCTGGTTCGGTGTTGTCGTCGGATGTGGAGTTGTACTCGTCGGTCGATGTGGATGGTGTTGGTGTGTTTCCAGGTGGTGTATCGGTTTCTGTGTCTGGTGAAGGTGGTGGAGTTGCAGGTGGAAGAGCAGGTGTTGGTGAAGGTGAAGTGGAAGGTGCGGATGTGGTGTTGAGGCCCGAATCGGAGTGGACGCTGTGGGGTGGCGTAGTGACAGAGTCGTCAGGTGAGAGATTAGGTGCGATTGCATCGGATTTGTCGTTGAATGGGACGGTGTATGCGGAATCCGAATCTGGATGGTCGTCTGCTTCGTCTTCGGCGTCGGTGTCGTCGTCTGAGTCGGTGTCTGCGTCTGTGTCAGCGTCTGGTTCGGTGTTGTCGTCGGATGTGGAGTTGTACTCGTCGGTCGATGTGGATGGTGTTGGTGTGTTTCCAGGTGGTGTATCGGTTTCTGTGTCTGGTGAAGGTGGTGGAGTTGCAGGTGGAAGAGCAGGTGTTGGTGAAGGTGAAGTGGAAGGTGCGGATGTGGTGTTGAGGCCCGAATCGGAGTGGACGCTGTGGGGTGGCGTAGTGACAGAGTCGTCAGGTGAGAGATTAGGTGCGATTGCATCGGATTTGTCGTTGAATGGGACGGTGTATGCGGAATCCGAATCTGGATGGTCGTCTGCTTCGTCTTCGGCGTCGGTGTCGTCGTCTGAGTCGGTGTCTGCGTCTGTGTCAGCGTCTGGTTCGGTGTTGTCGTCGGATGTGGAGTTGTATTCGTCGGTCGATGTGGATGGTGTTGGTGTGTTTCCAGGTGGTGTATCGGTTTCTGTGTCTGGTGAAGGTGGTGGAGTTGCAGGTGGAAGAGCAGGTGTTGGTGAAGGTGAAGTGGAAGGTGCGGATGTGGTGTTGAGGCCCGAATCGGAGTGGACGCTGTGGGGTGGCGTAGTGACAGAGTCGTCAGGTGAGAGATTAGGTGCGATTGCATCGGATTTGTCGTTGAATGGGACGGTGTATGCGGAATCCGAATCTGGATGGTCGTCTGCTTCGTCTTCGGCGTCGGTGTCGTCGTCTGAGTCGGTGTCTGCGTCTGTGTCAGCGTCTGGTTCGGTGTTGTCGTCGGATGTGGAGTTGTACTCGTCGGTCGATGTGGATGGTGTTGGTGTGTTTCCAGGTGGTGTATCGGTTTCTGTGTCTGGTGAAGGTGGTGGAGTTGCAGGTGGAAGAGCAGGTGTTGGTGAAGGTGAAGTGGAAGGTGCGGATGTGGTGTTGAGGCCCGAATCGGAGTGGACGCTGTGGGGTGGCGTAGTGACAGAGTCGTCAGGTGAGAGATTAGGTGCGATTGCATCGGATTTGTCGTTGAATGGGACGGTGTATGCGGAATCCGAATCTGGATGGTCGTCTGCTTCGTCTTCGGCGTCGGTGTCGTCGTCTGAGTCGGTGTCTGCGTCTGTGTCAGCGTCTGGTTCGGTGTTGTCGTCGGATGTGGAGTTGTATTCGTCGGTCGATGTGGATGGTGTTGGTGTGTTTCCAGGTGGTGTATCGGTTTCTGTGTCTGGTGAAGGTGGTGGAGTTGCAGGTGGAAGAGCAGGTGTTGGTGAAGGTGAAGTGGAAGGTGCGGATGTGGTGTTGAGGCCCGAATCGGAGTGGACGCTGTGGGGTGGCGTAGTGACAGAGTCGTCAGGTGAGAGTTTAGGTGCGATTTCATCTTTCTGTTTTTTGATTCCCCTCCTTTTTCCTGTCTTTTTCTTTTTGTCGATCTTTGTTGATGTCTCTTTGTTTTATCGTATCTTTTTGTTTTTGCGCTGATCAAATATGGTTTGCACTTCCGCTATGATTTAATAGTTAGTTATTTATGATCGATATGTATTATTTCGACGGTTTTCAATCATTGGATATTAACCCACTAGTTGAAATGTACGTTTTCGCTGTATCACCGTGGTGACCTTTTCCATGGTTCGATCTGTGGCTACTCCGCAGATTCGGATGAACCGTACGGTCGCCCAGCTCGAGCATTTTCACAACGCTACGTATGGTATCTTCGTGAGCAGAAGTTGCAGTTTGGCAACGTATTTTATATAGGATAGGTTTTGTGCTGATTTAGTTGACTTGATTCCAAACATCTCTCTACTGAACGAGGTGATTTTATCAAAGCACGACATTTTTCACGCTGGCAAATAGACAGATTTTATTGCTGCTAGCTCTTTATTGCTTATCTTTCCGAACTTGTAGCCGAGTGCGTTGATTGGGTGTTGCTCACCCGAAACCACTCAATCGACGATCGGTTTCGGATTTAGTTCTCATCGAGGCAGCGATAGCAAGCATTCGAACCAGGGGTGTTTGGAATGTCAGCCCGAACCACTATTTTTAGGCCACAAAATTGCGACTGATAATCCAAACCCTCAATTACAGTGCGGAACGATAACGGTTTTCGGTTCCGCGTCAATCAGTAATCGGTGGAATAGTTTTTTGATCCAGCTATCCTTGGAATTTTTACTTTTGAGAGTAGATCAGGCTCCGTGATTTTTGTGCGTTACTTATCCGTATTCTGTTTTCCTGTTTCTGAGCTATATAATATTGCAGTATGCTCACTCCGATCATCCTACGGGAATTGTGAGGCATTCGCTTTCTCACTCGTCATAAACCATTGCTCATCATATTTAGCCTAATATTCCAGGAAAAATAGCTTGTTGTTTATTTGTTTGAATGAATTTACGTGTGTCTCTGATCGCTATCGCCGACCCGTAGCCTTACAGATCACATGTCTGCCTTGTAATCTGAGGATACGGGTTCGAATCTGCATAGGGACCAAGTAACCCTAGCAATATCCTTAGCCCATGTGCAACGGATATGGTTGAGCGACAGTGAAGCGTCCGTACCGCTTACCGGCATGTTGCTGATGTCTTCGCTCTCTTTGATTTTGATCGTCATCAGTACCGTTCATGTAACAGCTCATGTTCGCGCTTGTTTAATCGATGAAGTGTGTTACAATCGGGTTCTGCGGTACAATGGTTCAAGTGCTTGTATTAAAACCTCTGCGTTGCATATTTGATCTTCCGCTTCCTCACTGTAACAAACTGACCTTCACACACGTGCTTTAGGTTGTATGTCAGTGAGTATTCAGCGTGCGAGCCAATCATGTGTTACCGACGCTAAGAACGACCATTTTCCAGCGTTACAGACAGTGGGTTCAGTTGGGCTGCCTACGCGATTTGGTCTGACGTTCGCCCAGCTTTCAACCACCCGCCTCAGTGTGTTTTGTCTGCCAGTATTTTGCCTTCTCAGCTACCCTTCTGAAACATAACAGAATGCCACATTACACTGATGTCTATGGTCTTTCTGAACTTGGACTACAGGATCAACCACGGTAGGTGTTACCTACCCTACTTAAGGTTCAGCAGTCAGCAAATATCGTAGAAGACAGAAGTCACGATTAAACTCCACACGAAAATCTGCCTCAACGGGGAAACGAACCCCGGTCCACGAATTTCCGGTCCGCTGCTCTACCACTGAGCTACCGAGGGCTGGCGATTAGGTGCGGAATTTAACACGTGACTTCTGCTTAGTGCGCGACGTATTGCCAATGAGCTGACAGTAACTGTCCTGGTGTTGCAGATCGGCTCATTCACTCGTCACTTCCCAGTGGACCGAAGTAACTGTCCATCCGAAGTCCAAAGGGCGATGGTAGATTATTTGAAGGATGTTCGCGAGTAACGTAACGTTACTCACAAACATCCTTCAAATAATCGGCATATAATTTAGCGGGAACCCAGATTGCGGTTCCAAAAGGTAGACCGAATACACGATAGCTTTAATTTATACATTAACAGGTTCCTTTTAGCTTATATATCAAAAAATGACACCGATTGTGTTGATAGCTGTGGAGAGGAAGTAAGTGCAACACATTATGCAGTCGTGCGTTGCGAACCAAGCAAAGTACCAAACAAATGCGTTTTGCTCGATTCGAACCACCGACCTCAATATGCAATCCTACATTCCGCACCGGTCACCTGAGTGTACATTGCAATGGTGGTTTTACTTAGTATTTTCCACACATGACTCAAGCAAACCGGGGAATTCGCCAGACTGCTGCGCATCTTCGCTCCAGTGCTTGCCGTCTAAACCGATGCCATTTATCTACATCATTTTTGCATGGATATTCATCTTCCTCAACTTTCTGGACTATTGTTTTACTGCCAGTCTGTTTTGTTATCATGGCAACACAAACTTCGGCAACTCCGTCAACGTGGTGTTTTAGTTAAGCGGATATCTAGTAACTTGTAATGCCTATATTACTGCTTGCTGACATCATCTGCCGAGTTTAGCACTGAAATGAAGCGAACAGGCTGTCAGATTACTATCTCTTTTTCCATTCCATTTTTGTCATTATTTTTTGACACGAACTAATAAGCATTGAGCTAGCAGATTAATTTGGTGCTCTGGAGCCAAGACGATCAGCCATCGGCGATTAAGCAGCATTACCAGGGTTGACTGCACCAAATTGTTAGGCACAGATCAAGCCTAATCAAGTCATACACTTGTGGTTCACTGCCGTGCACCTGTAAGTTGTTGTTCGTCTGCCGAGGTAATTCATGGACACCAGCCCATAGTTTTAAATAAATAAACAAATAAATTGTGTATTCTCGCTAGTGCAAGGCACGAAAGATGGCTGATTGTATTAAAATGTTGCAAAATTACCAGTTCTGTTCTTTTGCTGAATTTTCTGTATCGATTTTGTGTGTTTTCTTTCCCCTAAATTCTGTGTTGGTTGTTTGATGTCTCCGGTGTGGCTGCGCTTGATATGAATGTTGACAAGCTGCTTACATGTCTAATACCCTCATCCTCCTCGACTGCTGATTCCAGCAGACTGTGAATCGTTGGTCGGGTGGGGCGCGGAGTTCATGGTCCTCTTGGCAGTGCTAGGCTCAACGAGTGGTTCCATCTAGTGTGGCGCGGACTACTGCACATCCACCGTCTTTGGTGCGTTTCGTATCATCATTCATCATTATACACATCAGCTAGAGGTGGGAAAACACCTCCGCTATTGTGCCGCAATACATGAAAGAAATACATACATACATACATATGATACACAAAGGAAAAATAGATACAACAGTTGCATGCCAGCTGAGCTACCAGCAACGGATATGCATCGTTCCGGTAGGCTTCCAGCCAGCTACTAGGCAAAAAGAAATTTTTATATATAATATGTTTTACTCTAGGAAATGAGATCTTAGATGGAGGGGGAGACTAAAAGGGATGGGGAGGGACAAAGAAACTCACAGCAAGAACGCCACTGAGGTCGGCTCCTTGCCATGTCAGCAAGTGTATCCAGCCAAACGTGTTTACCGTCTTTTGGACCCCAACCAGGGAGCCGTGAAGCTCCAACCGACGCTAGCTCCGAAGTGATGGACCATTCCTCTGGACCAAGTCATCGCTTGGCCACCTCTCCTCTTCTTCCACCCACATCCCCGGTGAGCAAACAACGCACGACGCGGGAGTCAGTGGGCTGGCATGCGTAACACGTGGCCGAGCCATCGGTGCCTGGTGCGGGAACTAACGGTGCTGAGCGGTTCAGATCCTTTTTCTGTGCCCTAAACAATGCGTCGAACACGCTCGTTACTCACGCGGTGTTCCCACCAGATGTGAGCCAAACTGCGAAGGCACCGATGGTCGAACGAAGCTAGCCTCTTCAAGTCCGCCGACCTTAGGGGCCAGGTTTCGCAACCGTACAGTAAGGTCGAACGTACTGCTGCATTGTACACTCTACCCTTCAGGGCGAGAGTGATGTCGCGCGCCGTCATAGGTGGCGAAGGTTAGCAAAAGCACTTCGAGCTTTCGCTATACGGTTCGTGATCTCGTCTTCGATCCCAAGGGCGCTGATACAACTTCACAGGTAGTTGAATTTTTGAACGACTTCTAGCTGATCCCCACCAAGGGTCAGCGCAGGAGGCGATCCCTGCCAATCTTGGAGGAACGCTTTGCACTTCGATGGGGCAAAGCAAAGCCCGAAGCGACTGACAGCCAGTGCTAATCTGTCCAGCTCGGCTTGGCAAGTCTGGGAGCTATCACAGATGAGGGCAATGTCGTCTGCATACTCCAAAGCAAGAAGTCGTTCTCCTGGGAGTAGCTCCACACCTTCTATGTCATGTCCTGTAAATGCAAACTCCATGACTTCGTCAATAGCGAAGTTGAAGAGGAAAGGTGACAGCGAGCATCCTTGTCTCACGTCGCTGGAGATATTAAAGTGTGGCGACAGCTTGCCGTAAGCCCTCACTCTGCCCGTGCTACGCGCATATAATGCTTGAATAATATTTACATATTTCTCGGGCACACCTTTCCTGAGTAAACAATTCCAAAGGGCACATCGATCAACCGAATCGAAGGCACCTTTGATGTCGAGGAACACGACTAGGGTAGGGGCGCCAATATGTGTGGCGGTGCTCCAACAACTGACGCAAGGTGAAGATGTGGTCGATGCAGCCACGACCCCGACGAAACCCGGCTTGCTCCTCACGAATCTGGCTTTCACGAGCGCCAGTCAGTCTGTGAAGAATTATGGAAGCGAGTAATTTGGAGGCGATGGAGATCAGACTGATTCCTCTATGGTTGCCGCATTCTGAGCGCGAGCCGCCTTTGAAGATGGGAACAATAACGGAGCGGCTCCAGTCGGTTGGGACAGTCTCCTGCTCCCACAGTTTCACGAGTAATTCATGTAAAGCATCAACAAGAGCAGAGCCTCCGAATTTGAAGAGGGCTGGAGGAAGATCATCTGGTCCCGCGGCTTTGTTCAACTTCAACAGTCCGATCTCACGTTCGACTTCTGAGCGGAAGGGTGGATCCAAAGGGACAGCCCACGGAGCAGGGCGATCACTCGCCGGCGAAGAATCGAACAATTCTAGCCGATTAAATTGCTTTTCAAAATGCTCAGCCCAACGCTCCAAAAGTTTTGACAAATTGTGAATAGGCTGTCCACTCTCATCACAAATTGTTTCACTAACACCAAGCCTCCTGCTGCCCGTTTCCCGTATCAGACGTGCGTTTCGTATGCATGATTCCCAACATAGGTAGAGAGGAATGCTGTAATTTTGCCTATTCAACAAATGTGGGCCGACTCCGTTGATGAAATGTGGCACCCATCCACATGCATCCCTATCTTATTCTTTCGAGTTTACACCGGATAAATGGCATGTGGCTTGAGCTGTGGGTGGTGCAGCGCAATTCACCCATAGTCCATCTGTAGACGCAGGTGTCCTGTGGCTGGCCACAGTGACAAGCAAACCCGGAACTACATGCTGCCAACCATGCTTAAATGTGCTTGAATGTGTGTGTGTGTTTGAATGTGAATATTTGAGATTATCTTCAATCAGGTCGTCGGCGTGTGAAGGGTTCAAAAGTGATTGTCGGCTTAGAGCACTGACTTCCATGGAGTGAGGAAGGTCATCTGGATAGGCGAGGGGTAGTGACTTTTTAGTAGCGAGTCACATCCCCCAAGTCGCAGTGTTGTTAAACAGACGTATGTAGCTTTTCTGGAGAGATCGCTTGCCAGGCCGTAACCCACGACCCGCTGAAACACTGCCGCCAAATCTTTCACTGGACCGGGATTATCCCGAACTGCCCAGCTGGCACCACGGGGAGGTTGCTCGGCGAGCCAGCCTGCCTTGTAATTCGAAGGCGCGGGTTGGAGCCTACGTTGGGGCAGGACGACCCTCGTCGTATCCTTGGCCTTGGCCCTTGATTGCAGTCGCGCGGCAGCGAAGCGTACCGGCATACTGTTTATGCACTATTTGGCTAAAACCCACGGAGGATCAAAAGCTCGAGCCCAGATGTCTAGGCTGTAAGCCAAAATCCTCGAACCATCACGATGCGGACACTCTCGTTACCGCTGATGGAAAGTATATGCACTAAATCATTCTCCCTAGTAAAATTCTAGTGGCTGACCAATCGTTTCTATTTTTCCTGTTATTTTTGGGCTTATATGATGATAGTATCTCCTACAACTGATTTGCCGCTGTCTGGGCAACTCAATGGTACATAACTTTCTTGCTGCCATCGAATTATGAGCATACAGCGATGTTTCCAATTACACTGCCTTACCCATGGAATCATAGCGCTGTTAGAGGCTGGAAGTTCAAGACTT